TTCCGCATGAGGCTCTTGCTAGCCCAGTAAGCTGTCTATAGCACTACCTACTATTCTCTCAGTTCCTGTCAACTCAGCTCTTCTCTACGAAATGGCTATTAGATGACCTTTAGTGAGACAGTCCCGTTGTCTTATGCACTGTCTGCCCTGTCATATGTCCTGCTATTTCTATGGAACTTCATGACTTACAGCCCCTGTGAGATAACTTACAGTGGATTTCTGAGCTTTTGTTCAAGATCTAGAACCTGCCTTTCAAGTCCAAAGTGAGAAATGGTTTCTATGACATCAACTATTAGGTCTTAATAGTCTCACAGTATTGAAGTCAAAATTTCTATGTACTTAACTAGTGTCTCCATGATTACCCCCACTGCTAACAGTTTCTTTTTCATCCTCAGATTCTGAAATAAGTGAGTAATCAAACTATGATTTATTTTTTGCACTATGGATGTATGCCTGTGCTATTGGTTTTAAATTCAAGACCAACTTAAGAAATATCATTGAATAATTTGGTGTAATTTGACACCACAATGTACTATTCCCTTTATTAATATTTTGCTCATAGTTTTTGCATTTGTGAATTTGAAAGACTGTTGCATTGGAGTATATTTTTTATCCAGAGCAGCCAATTCCTGGTAAACTATCATTTATATCTGTAGACATTGCTCATAGGAAATTAATATTGTAGAAGACATTAATTTCTGCTCATCCTGAGAAAGTAAGTAATGAAGACATAAACAAGCAATGAAAAAAAAAAGAATGAAATATTATAGACTTTTCATGATGTTGCTTATACATAGGGAAAAAGTTAATATATTATCTAAATGCAGATTATCAGCCAAGGGAAAATGCACCATACATTCTCTAGATAGACCATGATTTTAGGGAGGTTATGGGAACCTAAAAATACTTCTCCTGGACTCAGCACCCATCAGTCCAAGAGCAATGTTTGTTAGTAATTTGATGATATTTTACTACTTAGTCTTAGTCTCAAATCAGAACTTAAGTCAGACACTTGGAAATAACTTATTTGGCCTAATTTATTTGGCAGGAGTTACTATGCAAATAAATAAAGACAAAGTAGAAAGGAATATCTTAGATTTGCTTTTCCAAGACACAACTGGGATGTAATGTCATAGAGATTTTCAGGAATGTTTTGGAGAGGCTGTTGGGACTGTCCACTCTGGGAAATGATAATACCAAGGAAAAAAACATTTCTTCATCTGCTTCTGTCTTTCACTGGTTAAAAATGTGTAATTTCCTGCATTCTTACACCTGTGCAATAGAGGAAGAACAGGTGGGACCATTTGTTTTCCTATTATGATCTCTGAGATACCTATGTACATAGTCAGAAAGTATTGTGAAAACTCTAGGGAAGACATTATTCATAAAATGTTTGCGAACCTACAATGCTATGTGTTATGCCATCTACAGGAGCTCGCTATATGGTATAAGTGTTATGAGACAAAAAGTTTTCATTTACCTTCCAGACACATGACAGAACAAAAGATTATTGACAATTTCAGACTGAAGAAAAATAGAACTCAGAAGGGGTTTGAAGCTTGTCCACATTTGTGCACCAAAGCCTAGTAAAATCTGAATTCTTAAAGGTGTCTCCATTCTTTCTTCTTTCCAAAAATATACAATTACTACCGTAATCAAGGAGGGTTTTATTTTTATTTTTTCCATAATGAAAATGGATTCATGTGACTAGGTGGAGTCAATTGCACCTATCTCATTCATCCTCATGGAAGGGGTCCACAATACTACGGAAAAAGAAAAATGATAATTTATGTGTAGGTCTAGAACTTTAGGGGAGTTAAAATAATTTGTTTCAAAACAGTTCTGTTAACTGTGTATTATCTAGGTCTTCAGTTGCATTTCAGTGATCAATATATTAGTTTTTAATTTTTTTAAGGCTTGTTTTACTTTAATGACTGATTCACCTGAGCCACAGGCAGCCCACTGTGTACAGACGCGAGGGAAGCTTTATTTCTTGCTCACTTCTTCCATGGACAGTCTTGATGATCTCCTCTTCCTTGGCCTGGAGGCGCTTCTCCCTGTGCTTCCTTGCTTCCTTGGTCTTAGAACAGGGAACCTCAGCCTGATCAGCAGGGAGCTTCCTGCAGGCCTTGTCTGCCTTCAACTTGTGGATGTGCTCCATGAGAGTCCGCTTGTTTTTGAAGACATTCCCTTTGACCTTCAGGTACAAACTGTAGTACATATAGCGGTCAATCTGCTTGGTCAATCTTCACGGTATCTCCTGAGAAGTTGTCACAGTATCCGCATCCTTCCCATCCAGGTCACCTTCTCTGGCACTCTAGCATAAGCAGTATCCTTTGGCTTCCCTAAGCCCATATGCCTGCCTTTCCGTGGAACCAAAGTGTTTTTCAGGCATCTAGCCCATTAATGGATAGTCACAGGCTTCCAGGTGATTAGCCCATCTTTGATGAGCTTCCGGATCTGCCAAAGGGAGTTGGCAATGTCGATTTCATTGGTCTCACTTGGGTCCAGCCAGACCTTTTTACTGCAGTGGAGGATGCTAGAAACAAGCCTTTTGTAGCCTGAGCATACTCATGGCTGCGGACAACCAGTATGCCAGTTTTTAATGCCAGTACCACACTGTTGTTATTCCTATATCATTGTAGTATAACTTGAAGTATTTTTTCAATTTCTATGAATTTTGATGACTATTCTTTTGTATTAAATTTACAAATTGCTTTTGGTAGGATTGCCAGTTTCATAACAGGGATCAGACCCATCCATGAACATGGGAGTTCTTTTCATATTCAAATATGTTCTTTAATTACTTTGCTCAGTGTCGTTGCTGCACAAAACTTACATATTTCTGTTAGGTTTATTGCCAGGAATTTTTTAAGCTATAAATCGGATAATTGTCAGAGTTCTTTCTTGGTATGTTCATACACCGATGAATGGGTAATGCAAATGTGGTACCCTTATACAATGGAATATTATTATGAAAAATGAAATTAGTAAATTTGTAGATAAATGGATGGAGCTGAAAGTGACAAGTCTGGGTGAGATAATCCAAAGCCCGAAAGATGAGCACTACATGTTCTCTTTCCTACATGGATGTTTGCTTTGAATCTTTAGGTATATGTGTTTAAACTGGAATACTTTCAGTTAGGAAAACACTAAAAGTTCATCAGGGAGGCATCTAAGAAAGAAGAAGTAGAATTCAGGTGGCAATATAGTTGAATGGGGGATAATGGAGCAAGAAGTAATTATTAAGAGGGATGATGGGTGGGAGGACAGGGAAGAGGGGCATGTGGGAAGACATAACTAAAGCCAAAGACTCTTGAAAAGCCAAATAGGAACCAGCTACTGTAGAAGCTACACACACACACACACACACACACACACACACACACACACTAGAGGAAGCAATGGCCCTAATAGACAACATAGACTATCGAATATAAAGCGCAGTGTTACCTCTTTCAGGGCTGTTGGAGAATGGGCTCCCTGGAGCCCCAAACATTAAAGGGTAACTGCCATTGACCTTGGTTATCCTCAAGAGCTTGATGTGATCATACTGCTAAAGACAGCACATACTTGAGTCAAAGAACATGGAAAACCGTGTTACTGACACAGAAGCTTAATCTTTACTGGCTTGTTTTTAAATTCTGGAAAGTGGTATCCATGTTACCCACTAACTACACATTTTATTTTCAAATTGGCACAAACACGATTTGATATATTTAGTCTTTAGGCACGTTTTTTCCTTCTCTAGATTCTTCTACAGAGAGGGCTCAAGAAAAAGATAAAGAACTGAACACCTATTTAGATTCAAGGTGTTTACATAATAGCAGAAGGGGAAAATTGGGTTAAATTTGGCTGGCAAAGTCTCCTGGGCTCAGTCATTGCTTCATAGGAGTCCACAAAAAGCAAGGATGTGGGGGGAGGAGAAGCTTGGTCATGCCTTAGTTGAATGTGCCAGACTTTGTTGAGCCTCTCCATGGGAGGCCTTACTATTTCTGAGGAGTGGATGGTGGTGGGTTGGGAAAAGGTGGGGGAGGGAGAGGAGGAGAGGGAACTGTGGTTGGTATGTAAAATAAATTAAAAAAATAAAATATTAAAAAGAGACAAAAAACTTATTGGAAAGACACATAGTCGGCTAACTCTCTGTGTCTTAGTGGTGCTAGAAGTGGAATTTCCATGATAAACACTTGAGAATCCAGTGCTACCTTAAGCAACAAATCAGAAGCACTGGATTTAAAATTCTTCTCTTTCTAGCAACTACTGGCCCTTTGCCAGGTTAACTCCATTAGAATGGTCCAAATCATGGCACATGAGGCTACCCCAGGTTCTTTCTCGTTCCACAGTCTTCCACCTTCTGCCTAGGTTCACTCTTACTCTGTTTTTCTTTTTCCTTTCTTTCTTTCTTGTGTGTATACTTTTGTTACTGGGGGAAAAGAAAAATGGCAATGTTTAGTAATAAACATGGACTAAGTTTAAACTTAGAATTAATTTTAAAAGGATGATAACAGTAGGGTTAATCTTCAATAAGTTCCACATCAAGTCCAAAGTGATGCTACCAATTCACTACCAAAAAGATAAGAAGTTACTTTTACTCCACACCACATGAAGAAAAATATTTCCTCACAAAATCCCATGACAAAACACAAAATAAGTATGTCAAGAGGAAAAAGAAAGATTTCCCTGGACATGATGAAATGATCTTTAAGTGTCCAACAAACATGGCATTTATGACACAGCGGTAGCTCATTGTCTTTGGCTACAGCAATGAAATTACAACAGCTATAAATATACCTCGAGGGAAACTATTCAAAAGCAGCTGCAATTACAGAGAAATTTGTGAGTGGCACATCTGTAAAGGACAGAGCACAAATAGAACAAGGATGACCCGGTTGGGTACCACACCTGTTGCTAAGAGTATATAAACCCAGCTCTCCACAGGGTGACATTCAAACTCAGAATCCTCTCAGTTACATCCAGCTGACCTCACATCTCCTCTCAGCATGACCTGCAGCTGCAGCTCTAGAAACGTCTCTACTTCCTGCAGGAGCTGCCTGCCCTCCTCGGGTTCCTCCTGTGGCTCTTCCTACCCCAGCAACCTGGTCTACACCACCACCGGCTGCTCTCCCAGTACCTGCCACCTGTACAGCGGTTGTCAGGAGACCTTCATTGAGCCCACCAGCTGCCAGACAGAGATCCCGTATGGTGTCCTAGCCCTGCTAGATGATGATGCTGTGCTACTACCCCAGGAGTTCCACACCTTGCAGTCTCTGCCAGGGGACTTATACTGGGTCCCTGAGTTGTGGGTCCAGCAACTTCCATTCTCCGGAAGCTGCTTCTCAGGGGACTGCGGACCCAGAGGCTTCACATTTCTGAATTGTGAAGTCCCTGCTTTCCCTTCCTTGAGTAATGTGTCCACATTCTGCTACCCAACTTACTTGCTTTATAATACATATTAACCATCATTTTGTATTCCAAAATGTGGGCCATGTCTCTCTGGAATCAGCTGTTAACTGTGTGCATGCTACAGTGTTAAAGGCAATGTCGCTATCCTGTACCCATCATTTTCATGCTTATCGCTTACAGCTATCCTTTCTCCTAATAGGAATTTCTCAATCTCAGATAGAACCTGGGATGCCTGCATAATCACCATTATGCCTTACTAACAGTAATGTTGACATGTATGTGCTCTATTTCATTGCTATCCAACAGTATATGATGAATATGAAAATTTATTCAATAAACTTGTGCAACCTGATACCTCAGTGTATTGCTCACATTATTATTGCTGTTGCTAATTATGTTTGCTTTTATGGATTTATGACACTAAATTATATACTGCAATTCTGTGATTAGATCTTACAAACAAATCATTTGGCATTTTTTTTATGATCCTTGTTTGGAGCTGTTAATGCTAGGAAGTATGCCATTTGTGTCCGCACACTATGGCACATTGACAGTGAGAATTGTGTGAGATTTAGGGAATACATTTCTGCTGAGTAATGGAACAAAGCAATTAAAGTGAGGTCTATGTAGAGAAAATAGTGGCCTAAGTCTAGTATTTAAATGTGAATTATCAGCCAAGGTAAAAGTGAGATGAGTTTTAAATAACTCTCAGGACAGATGCATTTATATATATAAATGCTTCTCCATGCCCCTCCATTGGTGAATATTTCTTTATCTTATCTCCATATGTGTATAGGACAATCATGCGATCCTGATTCAGGCTGTGTCGGCAATCCTACTCCCAGGTGCAATGCCAATCAACATGAGTGATGTGTCCAAGACATATTGAACAGCTTTTATTCATTGGTCTTAGTGAAACTTTGAAAGAAGTCATGTCAATGTCTTGGGTATAGTTTTCGACTTTTGGTTTTTTTGGGGGGGCAGGGTGCGTGTTAGGTCCTAGAAAGCACGTATCACAGGTTCTGTGGGATTTTAAGGAGAAGAAAACATTAAATGGGGGGGGGGAATGTCTAGTAGGAAAGGGAAAATTTTACAAGAAAATAAAAGGAATGCAAAATTAGGGACATTTAGAAAGACTTCCAGAAATGTCTAACTCAGTATCTGATTCCCAGGTAAAAACATCTCTTTTTTTGGAATTTCTCTTTCATTGGCAAAATCATATAATTTTTGGCTTATCATAACAGTGTGAGGAAAGAATGGCAGTGGGGTCCTTCTATCATCCAGGGGGGAGACATTTGAGACAGCAATGTACATAGCCAGAAATACATCACTTCTATTTCAGGAAACATGTTGTTTAAAGAGGGAGCTGGAATTCGTCATCAGTATTCGGTGCTGTAACCCTGCCTGGGATGACTTGTGACATCGTGCTCTAAGGATGAAGGTAAAATGGGGCTAAGAATTTTCATTTGACGTTTAGACACAAGACAGAGACTAAGATTATTAACAATTTTTAAGACAGGAGGGAGGGGGTACTCAAAATGGACTTGAAACTTGCCAGAGTTTGCATATCAGTGCCCAGTAGAGCAGGATTTCTAAAGCAATGTCAGTTGTTTGTTCTTTCTTGAAAGTCTCCATATAATAAGAAAATACAACTCCAAGTGCAATCAATGAGTTTTTATATTTCTATTATGGAATGACTTCATACAACAGTTAGATTTAATCTGTTGCATTCATCTCTTATTTAAATAACCCACAATAAGAAGAAAAATAAAGTTATAGACTTAGAGAAAGCTGTAAGTGTAACTTAAGCTAATTTGTTTCAAAAAACATTTTCTTAGCTATTGTCTATTGATGAGAGATGCCATTCTGTAAATCTGTCTCTTACTGGTTGTTGTATAAAGCACTGTTGGCCAATAGGGAAGTAAGATAGGCAGGACTAGGAGTTGAGCAGGATTCTGGGAAGGAGAAACATAGGGAGTCATCATGTAGCTGTCATAGGGGTAAGAAGTCCGGACCCTTTTCTCCGGTAAGAGAAATACTTAGATTAACAATTATTATGTGTTGGGGGTAAGTCCTGTGCATTTGTCAATAAAGCACTGCTGGCCAATAGGAATCTAGATAGGTGGGACTAGGAGTCCAGGAGAACTCTGGGAAGGAGAAACACAGGGAGTCGAGATGTAACGCCATGGGGTAGGAAGCCCGGAAACTTCTCAGGTAAGAGGCATACTTAGATTAACAATTATGGGATAAATACTTAAGTCAGAGCTAGCCAGTAAGAAACAAGCAAGGCCAACAGCTTAATAATTAATATAGCCTCCTGTGTGTTCATTTGGGACTGATGCAGCTCTAGAACCAGGCTGTCAGGAAGGCTTCTCTCAAAGAAAAAGCTTCTCTTTACAATTATGAAGTAAATACTTAAGTCAGAGATAGCCAGTAAGAAACAAGCAAGGCCAACAGCTTCATAACTAATATAGCCTCCTGTGTGTTCATTTGGGACTGATGCGGCTCTGGGACCAGGCTGTTGGGAAGGTTTCTTCTACAGTCTATTATTATACTAATTGACTGAATGACAAGAAAACAGTTGATAACATCTTAGCAAGAAATTCCTGGCGAACTTCAGCAGTGCGATGACATGTCTTCTTCATTTATATCATTAGTGTCTTTATCACTTAGATTTAGTCATCACTATGACTAATATCATGTGTTCTTTTCAATAATATTGAACATGAAGAAAAAACAAGTGTACCAAGTAGGAATATATATTTGATTATTATTTTGATATTATATTATTTTGATATGTTGATTATATCATTATACTAGATATACAAGTGAATTTTATTTCCAACCCAATTGTAGTAGTCCAGCAAAGATCAATTTTAAAGCAATGTAAAAATGTATATATCTAAGTTATATTCACAGATTTTTTTCCTTATCTTGTTAGTAATTGTCTCCAGCTCTGTATTTTGAATGATTATTTTTTAAACTTATTTTAAAGTTAAATTTGAAATAATTTTTGAAAAACAAAGCATATACACAGTTCCTTCTGTGCCTTGAAGGGCTGTACATTCTATGTCAAATTCTGAATCTTTTTACCACACGCTATACTGACTCTGAATCTTGTTATTATATTGCTCTTTCTACGATTTATCATTGGCTCTTTCTTCTTTCGTCTGGCTGGTCCAAACCAGCCTGATGTGTATTGTTGTGGTGTCATAGAAATTTGGCCAATTCACTATGCTTGACCATCTAATTAAAGATTAGTAGAAAGAACATTTGATATTGATAATACTTATCACTAAGTTGAAGTGATCTGACCAGAGTATGTTAATAATGATTATTATTAATATTTAAATTAAGAAGTTATGTCATAGCACTCAAGTTTCCTCATAATTTTGTGCTAAGGTATTATCAAATATTAAACCTGTTCTTGTCAGTCTATCATTTGGTATAAACAGATTATAGTTAATAGTAATGCTTTTGAAAAAAATTAGTTTAAATCCAAGTAGATCTTTCACTAAATCTATAATGCCTTTTTATTTTTACTATTTATTCTGGATCCTTTAGATGTGGCTAATGTGACAGAGTCAACAGACTTGTGGGAATACTGAACATGTCTTGATTGCACTAGTAGTCATATATTAAAATGGTTCAGGAAAGAATAGAACACTAGGATTCATTAAGAATTCAGATACTTCCCTAGTCTGGTCAGCTCCTGGAGCCAAGAAATTAGGGGTTCTTAGGCCCTGACCATGCAACCCAACTTTTCCCTTACTGGTCAGCTCTAGGTACCAATAGCTAAAGGCTCCAAGTCCTAGAGCTGACAGGGAAGATGCCCCCAGACTCCTAGCTCTCAGTCCACATTCTCCCTGCCCTCTCAGCTCTAGGAACAGAGAGGTGTTGCATCCCCAGACCCAACCACAGGGACAATGCTCCCCACAATGACCCAGATATCATCACCTAAATGTAATGGATAATCAAGACCCCACTACTCATCTCAAGATTCTCCTATCTTCCTATCAGTCCACTTCCTAGTGATAACAAATAAGAATTTCTGAGACTCTGACCCAACTTTCTTTCTCTTTCACACATCTACATGTTAAGTGAAAAATCTATGACTCCTATCCCCTTATTCTTTGCAGCATGTCATTACAGATACCAGAGGCCAGGCTATGGAAGACATATATAGCACCCTCCCCACAGTGTACACAATACTCACTTGACTATGTCCTTAATATCTTAAAGGTAATACTGTGGTAACGGAAGATGAAGTTACAAGAATCCAGGACATTATATATCTTCAACAAATGAAAGATGAGAGTGGGTGAAGAAAAGTTTTCCCTAGGGATCACATTCTGGAGCGAACTATTCTGAGGGTCTTCACAAGTGTCCTTAAAGGTCCCTGAATCTCTATTCTTTTAAAAGCAACATCTGAATGTACTTTTTGTTAAAATAGACCATTGCTTTTAAGTCTTTTTAGAAAAATAAATAATTTTATAAAGATTTGAAGATTTTATGGAATTCATTCCATTGTAGTCTTTCGATTCCCGCATAAACTCTTCTTAACCCCCCCCGTGTCTTTATTCTCCCACCTCTTGTGCCCACTTTTATTTTTTAATTCACTAACCCACTGACTCAAGTTATGCTATCCACATCCTACTGTGTGTAGGACATCCACTGGTGTATGGCTAGCTCACCTGAAGCCATACCCTTAAAGAAAACTGGCTCTTTCTCTTCCATAAACATAGCTTCTCAATCAACGGTAGTCCCGAATATTGGAATAGTGTGTGCCATTTGTGACTGGGCTTCCTACATTCACTTATTTTCTAAACTTGACAAGTCTGAATTGTTTATTCTTTAACTGCCATATTCTACATAAAGAAACTTCTCTGAAGAGGTCTGGGAGCTATAACTCATCTATTGATAGAGAGGTATGAACATAGAGGTCGGTTTGATACTCTATACATTTAACA